ATGCACCGGGCTCAGCGCGTCATTCAAACTGCATTGTATTTCAATACACTTTCTTGAATACGTGTTTCAAAGCATGTTATCAAGTGTTGCATTCATATGCCATTCTAGATATCCGAGCCTATTTTAGTTGCATTTTTGCATGAGTTGCATTAGGCATCTTGTATAGTTAGGGTCATGCATTGATTTCTAACATAGCTTCTGTTTTGGCTCGGAGTACTAGGTAAGCTATTACGCTTTAGCATCCTTGCATGTGTGTAAGTGACTGCCATGATAGCATGCTTGCCATGAGGCTAATTGCTTAAGTGTTTAACTGCATGAATGCCTGTGGATGAAGGCTTCATTGCTTAAATTGGGACAATTCATCAAAATGTGAGTTTTAAGCCCACTTGAAGTGGCAAATCCGCGTTTTAGCCTACTTGTGAGTAACACTTTCAAACCATTTTCCAAAACAAACATGAGATGTTTTGTTCCAAATCGAGTGATTTAGTCTATACTTGTGTGCTGTGCGCATCACATAGTAAGCTAGCTAATAAACCGGAATAAGAACACGTGTTTTCAAAAATAACATATCATGTTAGTAGAGGCCGATCCTTTGATCGGGCGAGCGAGAGTGCTCATTTCATGACCTTCCCCTCTCGTACCCAAGTTCCCGAGCCGAGACAACTTTGGTGATGACGGACACATGACCTTAGGCAGGAGTCAGGGTTTCCTAAATTTCCTAAAACAAAATATTTAGATGGCGACTCTGAAATCTGGCAAAGCAATCCATGTTTGGCACTTCTTGATTAAAATCGATTAAAATTGATTTTCCAAAACGATTTGCCGAATTTGGACTCTTTGGTGATTTATCAGTCTCACATTGCACTTTGTGAGATTAGATTCAGAGCCGTGACAGGAGTTCGAACTGTAGTAGCTATGAACACAATTCGCACCCTAACGCGCAGAGCGGAGTTCGGGCGGTCTACAGGGACATATGGCTATTTTTAAAAGAGAGATGGGATAAAGTGGTATCAAGCCATATTACAATGAGGTAAAATAGATTTTGTCCAATATTTTACAAAAATGACAAATATCCTTTTTGGGCATGTTTGGGCATGTATATTACAATGAGGTAAAATAGATTTTGTCCAATATTTTACAAAAATGACAAATATCCTTTTTGGGCATGTTTGGGCATGTGGGACTTATCAGGAATTTCATCTCAATGATTCAAACTGTTCATTTTTTAGACCACAAGTAGATTATTCATGAAAAAAATTGCGTCAATTTGATAACCATAACCAGGTTTGCAAAAAAAATGAACGACAAATATTATTTGAAAAGTAAACCATTTTTTTTTTTGAGAAACAAAACTAACGTGATTACAGTTATCTAATTAACCTAATTTTTTTAATGAATAATTTATATGTTGTTGTCATGACCCGAACTTGCCCCTATGGATTAGAGTCATAACCGACCAGTAATCATGAGATTACCTACGGCCTAAGTCAGAAATCAAACCATATTTAATAATAGGAGGCCAAACTGCGGAAGCATCACATACAAGAATTGTCCAACGAGCTGTGCATACATGGTTTAATCAAAAAATTTCTCATATACGTGAAATAACTCACACCATGCAATATTTACGTTATGTATGTACTACGTATATCCAGGATCATTTTACAGTTTCAGCACCAAGTTCCAAGGTTATACACAACGTTGGTCATACCTAACCATAAGAGAACAAAAACAAAAGTAAGGCCTCTGCATGAGGCGACCTTGGTTGACCTCACAAAACTTGGTTTCTCAACGCTCACTGAGACTGGGGTTGGAAGTCCCGCTGCTCACCTACATACATATAAATACAGAATGAGCCAATGCCCAGTGAATAATCCCAGAGTAGAGAGGTTAATGAATGAATTTCATTCACAATGAGTCATACTTATAAATTAAACATTTGAACTACTATTCCCATTCACATACAGATTTGTAGATCACAACAAAGCAAAACGACCTCGGGTCCAATACATCATAGCCATATACACAACGACCTCGAGTCCAACTCAATATAAAACAAAACGACCTTAGGTCTATCTATACAAAACGACCTCGGGTCCAATACCCATTCATAGACCAACTTTAGGTCTAATGGATCCATGTACCAAGGACCACCGGTCCTCCATATCATATTACTAAACGACCTTAGGTCCACCATTCTTATATTCATAATTATGCGCATATGACCGTGATCACATCCATACTCATATTCAAAACGACCTTTGGTCCAATTTGTATATAAGATGACCTTTAATCTATCTTGTTAAGCATTCCAAACGGCCTTGGGCCTAATCCGTGTTCTCATCAAATATACCAAACAGCCTTAGGCCCAATCTGTGCCCTCGTCAAACATGCCAAACGGCCTTAGGCCCATTTCATACTCATATATCAATCACTTCACATACTTTATTACGAATTAAGCGAATAGAATACTCATTCATAGTACAAATTCATAGAGTTAGAAATTTACCACGTAGGTAACATTTAGAAAACAATGTATACATAAAAATATCTTTACTAAGATATTACTCACAGTATTCCGGTACTTGATTCGTCTTTGTGCTTGACCCTACATAATTCATAACACATTGGGTCATAACACATTGGGTCATTCCGTTCTTTAATTTACTTAATGTTTTTCAGTCTTCTTCCATGCTCTTTAATTCATTTAGTGTACTCTATGCATGCCTAAGAGTGCTTAGAAGTGAAAAAGAATGGAAAACAAAACATAAAACGTCTTTTCAAAATTTCTAAAATAGGGCCCTCTGCTTGAGCGCAGCTTCTTTCGGGATTCAAAAATAAGGGTGGTCACTCGAGCGTAACTTCCATTGCTTGAGCGGTCTGCAAAAGTACTGGTTGTGTGAATTTCCCGCTTGACGGTCGCCAGATTTGTAAGATTTTGTAAAACTTCTGAGAGCTCGATTTCCACGCTCGAGCGACACTTTTCTCGCTTAAGCAGACAGGTCGAATTCTGGGTTTTCCAGAACTCTATTTGAAGCTCAAACTCAACCCCAAGGGCTCCAAAACTTGCAATTTGATACCAAAGCATGGGAAAACATTGCCTAGTATGAAAACATGGGTAATTCGAATTCGATTGACCAAAAATCATGGTTCATCTCCCAAATTTCCCAAGCCATTTCAAATTCTTCAAAGGTCATGAAATCAAGCTCGTGAAATCAAGTTACATATCTTCATGAATTATGCATGCATATAATTTATTGACTCAAATTCCATTTCAAATGGTACAAATGATGTTCATACTCATGGAGCTTAACAAAACCATGCTTGCATGTATGATTTAGCAGTCAATTTCTCATATTTAACTTGTTACATGCTTGATTATGCAATTTCATAGAAATTCTCTACATGCATTGTCATATTGACTCCAAATTCATCATAATCAACTCAATTCTTGCTCTTGATTACATATTTTGCTTGAATTCACTCAATTATGAATTTAAATTCATGACGTTGAGTTCAATTACTCACCTAGGAGCTCCAATCTCCTAATTTCTAACTAGTTCTTGAGCCTAGCCTTCAAAATCCTCAAGGTTTGAACAATTCTACAATTTTTCCTCTTCTTCTCTCACTAGAACCGGCCCTCTCTCTCTCTCTAGAGTGTATATCCAGAATTTTTGAGCTCACAAATGGTGAGTATAAGGGTAATTAGCTCTTTATATGTGCTTGCCTTAAAATTTGACTATAGCTAAGTAATTGTGCTTAATTAATCAGTTCGATTTAATTATTTTGATCCAAATCGATTTCTAATTAAATTTCGTTGTAGGCTCTAAAAATCTTGCTAATCATAAAAACACAGTCAATTTTGCTTTTTGACGCCTCTACGGCCTTCAATTAAATTTTTTTATAGCAGATAATCAAACAGATTTTCTTACGGTGAATAGATAGAAATTCAAAAACACGTATAATCATATAAATAGCATTCAAAATCATGTTAAGCACACAGTCACAATCATAATTAAAATTAATTAACATAACACGGGATAGGATTATCACAGTTGTGGTCTAAAAAATAAACGGATCAATTGACCCATTAGTTGTTTAAGTAAAAATATTAAATACCATTATATATAAGTAATCTCATTATACATTCGTTGTTTGTTTTTTCTTGAAGCAACATTGACTTTGCAGCCCCTATATTTTGGAGACAAACTATGGCTTTTTTTTTTTAGGGTATTCAATTAGGAAATGGATTTTTTTTCCAATCCATAATGTAGATTGGATGGTTTTATTTGCGTCTTTAAGGCTTACCACAGGTGCCATTTCACGATAACCTAAACTGTTTATTTTATAAAGTTTTTTTTGTATATATCCCCCATAAAAACAAAAACAAAACAAAAAAAATTATGATAAATTACACTCACCTCTCTTGATGTTTGAAAAAATACAATTAATCCCAAACTTTTGGTGTAAATACACTAACATCGCTTAATATTTTACATAACTATTAGTCATTTTTTTTATCGATAATTCGTTAGTCATATATAAGGATAGGCGTCGCGTGTCATTTCATTTTCTTAGAGTTATCTCAAAACTAACTTCATATTATTGTGTCGTGCCATTTTTTGTCCGTGTCATGTTAAAAAAATTTACCATTAACTAAAAATATCAAGGTGTATGCATTTTCTTTTTTAAAAAAAATCATAAATTAAATTTAATTAAACTAATCTCTATTGAATAAAATTATTCATAAGAATATTTGATTTTAATTTAATTTATAAAAGCTATTATATATATATATATATATATAGCTAGATTAACTCATATAGTGACAAAAAAGACACTATCTTGAAAAAAAATTTATAAAAAAAAAAAAAAAAAACCTTATATTAGTCTTGAAATTCTATTTTACATACATTTTAAAAACAAAAAGAACCCTAATTAGCGCAAAATGACACATACCTTCTTGTTCACATAATACTTTTCGTTCATATAACACAAACTTACAAAAGAAAAACACAGTTTAATCACAATATATACATTCATTTACATCCATACACAAGCGATTTGGGGTTAACATTACATGTATCTTGAAATGCTACTGTAAATATTGTCTTCCAAAAATGTACAGAAAAATGTAAGCACTCAACTTGTATTGATGATCTAACAGCACAGAAGTGGGCTTTGACAATAAGGCAAGTCTACAAGTTCAATTTCTTCATCCATTTCAAACTTCAATTCAACCGTCCCTCCCTTTCATACTTCGATTCAACTCTACAAGTTCAATTTCTTCATCCATTTCAAACTTCAATTCAACCGTCCCTCCCTTTCATACTTCGATTCAACTAAAAATAAATAAAAATTTTGATTCAACAATCCTTTTGAAAATAAATCCTAAAACAAAGTACACTCTTCAAATGGTGAATGCTGCACCTTACTAAACATACAACATCCTTAAAACCATATTTTTTAGGGTTTATTATACTGACTGTCCCTTAACTTCTTTTTTTTTATTGGCAAAAATCAATTATTAGTTGTTAAATTAAATTAGCATTTATGAAAGTTAGCCTCCTCCTTTGCAAAGCATTAAGTGCTTGCTTCCTAATTCAATTCTCCCTTAGAAAGAGTTGAACCGATAACCTCCCATTGAGACTAAACCGTTAACAAATATCACTTTAACCCATTCATCTATAAACTCATACATTTTAACCCTTTCAATTCAATTATCAAAATGTATCATTTTTACCCCTCTAAAGCACCGCTCTTAAAAGGGATGTATTTATTTGTATGTATTTGTACATTTATATACAAGGTTTATAAATGTAAGGTCAATATGTACAGTACAGGTTTATTGATAAGGTAAAGTGATAGGGTCTTGGTGTAATTAACCCAATTTTAAAATATATTCATAGTAAATTACAGGAAGGCTCATAATCAAGCATACTCAAAAATCAGAGACAAAACACAGCACAAGCGTTACCTAAAATCAATGTTCACAAACAAAACACAGCACAAGCCTACTCAATAATCAGTGTACTATTTAATGATGACTAAACACCTGAGATCAGACGTGCAATCATATATATATATATATATATAACATAAGAACTTTAAAATAAGATCAGAAGTGCAATATAAAAAATTCACACTTCTCCACATATATAGAATATTAATCAGAAAGTATGACACTGTTGTACTGCAAAAACTCACACTTCACAAGTTTTCATTCCTTACTCCATACCCTACCACCACCCACCATGCATCACCGCCATCAGCCACCACTGCTGGAAACTGCCTCAGACAACAACCACAGGCCACCACTCTGGTTGGTCGCTTAGACATTGGAGAATAGATAACAGACATAATAAAATCACATATTTAATTTGGCGCGGTTTCTAAAAGAGGGAAAACAATTAGCACAATTATGCATCATCCAAATCATAGAATTGAAATAATTAAGTCCAATTCCAACTTTGCAATACTTCATCTTCTTAATCTAGTTTCTAAACAGGAAACAAATCTATATTACATTTTAAGGCATGATGAGAAATTCAATTATACATAATAATGACAACACATAAATAGGGCCGGCCCTGGATTAAGGCTGGTGAGGCCTGTGCCTAGGGCCCAAAAATTAGTCCCAAAAATTAGTCTTACACTATATTAAAAACTTAAAATGATCCAATTCTATGTAATTAATTTAGGGCATTTTAAAGGAGCCTCAAAAAATCTATTAGGCCCAATTGATAAAAGACCCAATTAAAAAATATATATAAGTGTTAATTGTTAGTCTAATTAAAAAAATAAAATATAAAACATATGTATTAGTTGCTAGTCTAATTTTGTGTGGCCTATTTTTTTTTTCTCTTTGTGGCCCAATTATATATTTTTTAGTATTTTTTTAAAAAATATTTTACACAATTTTTATTTATTTATTTTGTAGATACATCTAATTTAGATACGCTTAAAAACTATAATATTTGTGTGTTTTTTTTTTTTAAATTACCAAATACAAAAAAATAAAAAAAAATACGAATTGCAAACTCAGACAATTATTTTTAAAAACTCTAAACCAAAAATAGTATTTTTTTATTATTATTTATAAATATCTAAAAAGGTCCCGAAAAATTATTCCGCCTTAGGCCCCTGGAAACTCAGGGCCGGCCCTACTTTTCAGTCTCGAATTTTCACTTAAATTTACTTTAATTCTTCTTCTTTATTCTTTGATTTTTATTTCTAATACCAGTGTTCTCAAGAATGAATTTATCTTGCAAATTTCAGCTTACGTGCATGAAGTTATTGAAACACTTGGGAGTAAAGCACCATGGTTTGTCTAGTACAATATATTCATAATATCTCAGATTTTTCATTTCACAAAATTTTCAAGTCAGATTGTTAGTGGAATCTAAATTGCATTTAGATCCTGAGTTTCTATTATATTCTAATGTGCAGAAGGAACAAAGACTTTTTAAAAAAAAAAAAAAAAACACAAATATTATACTTTTTAGGCATATCTAAATTAAATGTATCTATAAAACAAATGAATAAATAAAAATTGTGTAAAATATTTTTAAAAAAAATACTAAAAAATACACAATTGGGCCACAAAGAGAAAAAAAATAAGCCACACAAAATTAAGCTAGCAACTAATACATATACATATATTTTATATTTTATTTTTTTAATTAGACTAATAACTAACACTTACATATATTTTTTAATTGGGCCTTTTATCAATTGAGCCAAATATTTTTTGAAACCCTTTTAAAATGACCTAAATTAATTAAATAGAATTGGGTCATTTTAAGTTTTTAATATAGTGTAAAACTAATAAATTTGGGGCTTTTTTTTGGAGCTAATTTTTGGGGCCTAAGCACATGTCTCACCAGTCTTAACCCAGGGCTGGCGCTCACAGACAACTCATATGTCCAGACATAATTTTAGCAATTTCATCATAGTAGCAAGCATATTAAGAAGTATACTAAAAAAAAACTTAAGCTTGAAGTCAAACAATGCAAGGATACTATAATAGCAATATAATGGCTCTGTTTGGTAGAGCTGTGGGAAAGTGCTTATAGCTTATGCCTAGCTTATGCCTAAACAGCTTATACTTTATAACTATGAACAAAAACTGATTTCTGAATTATAAATTAAGCATCTCCTGCCCCACTCAAAGAATAAGCTGATTTCTGACTTCCAAAAAGCTATAAGCTATAAGCTATAAGTTAAACCAAACACATCAAAATAACTTAAATTAAGCTGAAAGTTGAAATAAGCAGCTTTTAAGCTGCACCAAACAGGCACGGTATATCACAAAATCAATATCAAACACAAACAAAAAGTGTTCAAAACAATTTGGAAGCTTAAACCTACGAACTTGCACGTAAAATACAGCATAGTCCAGGATCTCGGAGGCATTCCAAAAGTGGAAATTTGCAGACATTCAACACGGCATCAGGTTCTGACCGCCCGTCTGCTTTTTCTCATCATTGAATAAAGTAAGGAAAAAAATTATTTTAGAAATGTTTTTGAAAATTTTTCTTCATTTGATTAGTGTGTGATATTTTATTATATTGATTAGTGTGAGATATTTTATTATATTTGTAAGAATAATACTAGAAATCATAAAAAAAAATATATATATCATCAAATGATGTATGAAATTTTTTTATCATTTAATTAGTGTGTGGTGTTTTATTCTATCAGAAATGATAAAGACCCCATTTTTCCTTGAACCCCACAACCCCCACAGGCACATGTCAATGAGTGATATGAAAAGAAAAAAAAAAGAAAAAAAATTGACCAATCCCAATACATTGGGGTGGTGCGGTCAAGAAAAAAAAATGTCTCAACCTTTTTCCTTGTCTACCCTTGGATTATAAATACAATAAAGGAAAAAGGTTGAGACCTACCACCCCAAATGTATTGGGATTAACCAACTTTTTTATTTAGATTTTGTTTTTTGTTTTTGTTTTTGTTTTTTTTTCCTTCTATCACTCATCACTAACATGTAGTGATTGTGAAGGTAAAAAAAAATGGGATCTCTATTATTTTTGGGGTGAACAATCTTTCAGGATCATTTTCATTATATTTTTTTTGATGATTCTAGCATTACTCTTACAGAAAGAATAATATTAGGTATCATGAAGAAATATCATGAAATGTTTCATGAAAATTTTTCATCCTTTGATCAGTGTGGTGTTTTATTATATTTGCGATCCAATAGTGGAGAATCTTTCAAGATCATCTTCATGATATTTTTTCCATGATCCTAGCATTACTCTTACAAAAAGAATAACAAGATCATAAAAAAAATATTATGAAATGTTTCATAAAAATTTTACATTTGATTAGTGTGGTGTTTTATTGTATTTGTAAAGGATAGAGAATCTTTCATGATTATCTTCATAATATTTTTCTTATGATCCTGGCATTACTCTTACAAGAAAGAATAATACTAAGAATCATGAAATGTTTCATGAAAATTTTTTATCCTTTGATTAGTATGCGATGTTTTACTATATTTGTAATCGAAGAGTATAGAATCTTTCATGATCATTTTCTATGATTTTTTTTTTCATAATTTCTAACATCCCTCTTACAGTATAGAAAACTTTGATACATTAAACTCATAAATTTTTACATCAAATTGATATTTATTTTTTTATCCTAACTAATTGGTTATTTTCCCAATAAATAATGCAAAAACTATTCCGCCATCATAATTCTTTAAAATAGAGAAATTAACACCCAAAAAGATTAAGAAAAACAACCCATTCAACCTAGGTAACACATTGTATAGGAGAAGGGATGACATCAGATAACAAGCAGAGTTTGTAGTCTACATAAAACTCAGTGTAGGATAAGATTAATTACACCACATGCCTTCCCATCCTACAACTGGTGGTGAGCATGGTTTTGGTTTCATTTGGTTTAGGTGTAAACCAAAGACCAAACTACTATTTGAAACACGCTTCCAGGTGTAGAATGTTAACAACTTATGTTAACAATTGTTAATAGCATTTGAAAGAATGAATACATCATTCATCAAAGTTTATAAAATAATTCAAACTTTTTATTTTTCAAATTAGAGCATCTCTAACCGTGACTACCATTTTTATCTAATTTGATTACATATTGGAGTAAAAGATTTGATTTGACATGTATTATTCTTTCATCAAATTTTCATGAAAATCATTTTAAAATTCCCTTCTCAACAGAGATTTTTCCGTTCATCAAATTTGATAAATAAAATTCATCTTCAATGCTATATCTTTTTAAATTTTCATCAAATTTGGACTTACTGAAATCTCAATTCAATGAAAAATTCTCTTAATCTGATAAACATTTGATGAAAAGATTAGAGATGATTTTTTAACACTATTTCATCAAATTTTAAATTTTATGAAGAAAAAAAAATAAGCATGGGAGATGCTCCTAGAGCATTTCCAAAATGTGTTCTAACCATTTTGTCAAATATGGGCAATTTTTCACCAAATCAAAAATGAACCAAACTATTCACCAAATTCTCAACAATTATATTTTTACTAAAATTTGATGAAATTTTAAAAAGAGCAAAGTTTGAAGATATTTTCCTTCATAAAAAATGATTAAAACATGATTTTATATTTAGAAATTTTCAAGAAAAAAACAAATTAGAGTATTCCAAATCAAATCAAGCTTTTAACCAAATTTTATTCCTACAAATTTGATGAAAAAGGAGCTAAGAACACTACTATTCTTGAGCCCACATGAAAACCAGAAGTAATTAAAAGACGAATAAAACAAGAAAATAAAAAGCACTCCAACATAAGGCCACCCAATTACCCATTTGAACGCAAAGGCAAGGCAATAAAAGAAAGATATGCAATGGGCTGGCAAGCCAACCTTCTCACTTTCTGCATCTGTTTATATCTCCTTGTGCATTGCAACACAAGGACAGAGTAAACAAATTCAAACAATCAAAAATATATTGTACATTTAAAAGCCAATTGTGAGTATCATAATCTAATCGAATCGTCAAAAAAGAACAGATTATGAATATAATCGAACATATTAAGCAGTAGGCGAATATAAAAACTGAAATCAAGAGATCTACAAACCTATGAATCGAGAAGGTGAAAGGAAATCATCGCTTTCAAGAAGATCGGGATTGGCAAAGCAATGAACCGAAAACAACGTTTAAATAAAGGGTTTTGGCGATTAGGGTTTCTCATCCTGATAAAGGCTGATGGAGTTCGGCCCATAGGCCCACATTTTTAGACTTTTTAAGTTCAGCCCATGGATAGGTCTCGCCTTCTTATAGATATCTGTGGAATTTGGGCGGGCTCAACAATTTAGGCCTGGTTTGACTTATACTATACAAGTCAAAAAGTTAAAAAGTTACTCCAAAATCTAAAAAGATATCACTATTCACCCAAAAAAATATATATATATTTAATTTTTTTCTGCCCAAGTACACACCGAATTGACAACAAGCCAGTTGCTGTGCAGCGGCAGTGCACCTAAATGAAAGGATTGGGTGTGATTTGCACACACACCGCTGTTCGGCCTGTGGGACCTATCACAGATTCCGTTTTGATAATCTGAACCGTTAAATGTGTAGAACTCGTCGAGTACTATGTGTCTGCAAAAATCACATTGATTGGATATCGATAACTATATGATCAAATCAATTATGTACAACAAATGGATGGTGTTATAATTAATGATTGAAAAATAAATAAGTCTGATCAGATAGCTATCGATATCCGATTAACGTGATTTTTTATAGGTAGATAGTGTTCGACGAGTTACACACATTGAACGGTTCAGATTATTAAAATGGGACCTGTGATAACCCCCACAGGCCAAACAAAACCGTCCAATGCTTTGTACAAAAATTAGGCAATAATTTCCATAGCCAAATCACTCCAGCCGGTTGTACGGCTGGGGCCCACCTCTCACTAATCATCTCTTACACACTTTTTTTCTATAATATTTTAATACACATTTTTTCATAAAAAGCTAAAAAGTTAACCCAAACCTCCATATTTTTTTCTCAACTTTTTTAGTCCAAAAAGACAAAAAGTGCACTTTTTTAGAACACCCCAAACCAGCCCTTAATTTGAAAATTTTTGGGGCTTGAATAATATAATTTGAAATTGGATTCAGGCTTGGGTGGAGAAAATTAGCAATACATTCTCTATATAGTTTGGGTAATAGAAAATGTCCAAGATAATTGGATGTAGTATCACTCTTGTGAGACTTGTATGACTCATTTTGAATTTTATTTTGATAATTTGAATTGTTAAATTTTAAAAAATATCGACAACAATATATCTGTAAAAAATAAAATTAATCGGATAACAATAACCGATTCATCAAATCACATCTTTATATAAAAAATGAATATGTATGTATCAAACTAAATACAAATGATATTTGATGAAAATATTATAGATATCCGATCAATTTGATTTCTTACAACAACATTGTTCTCGATATTTTCTAAATTTGAACAGTTCAGATTATTAAAATAGGACTCGAAAAGAGCCCCACGGACTGCACAACAATGACACCGGATCTAAGATAATTTTTCTTCCTAGTTAAAATCCCTCAGTATTGTTATTTTTGTAGCTTAGGTTTCTCTATCTAACCTTTTACATCGTTTAAGTGATTTCAAAATTTTAAAATTTAGTAACTTTTTTATTACATCTCCATTTTTTTGTAAAATTTATATTTTAAAAATTTTATTGACAAAATTTTTCAAACAAGATTTATAAAAATTTCACTAACCTATCTTAGGTCAATGAAATTTCGTCAACTTTAAAAAATAAAATAAAATAAAATAAAATAAAGAGTTATATTCATCATGGATCTTGTTTTATAGAACTAGATGAAAAGATTTCAAAAATACAAATTTTATAAATAATAGAAATCTATATCAAAAGTTATAGAATTTTGAAATTTTTGAGTCAAAAAAAGTTATAGAATTTTGTACAATGGTGTTATATCTCTTTAATTTTGTTTATTTAATTTTACCTCCAATGATGTGGCACACTCTTATATGAAGTGGTTCCACACCCCTTTTCCTCTCATCTTTAACTTCCCTAGTTCCACATCATTAAATGTGGAATTAAGTGAATAAAATTAGGAGATAAATTATTATTCTATTTTGTATGTGCCAATCTAATTGAGATTAATAGACAATGATGTATTTATGCACCTTAGCTGTCATGACCCAAACCCGTCCCTATAGGTTTAGCATCGTAACCAGCTAGTAATCCTTGGATTGCCGAAGGCCTCTTAACAGTATAACATATAATTAGGGGTTGTGGAAGCTATATGTAAACATACATAATCTATTGAGCTGTGCTAACATATATGAGACAAAATTTTCAAAACAAACTTATATATATATATAAATACACATGTGACGTCATAAATACAATAGTCTTGCGTCACCCATTTACACAGATAAAGTCAAAAGAGAACTTAGCCCAAGTACAGATAAACAGAACAAAACCAAATAAAGCCTTGACATGGACTTCTCAAAGGAACCTCCTCGGGAGGCGCGGTGGTTGACTGACAAAAGAGAATCTCAGGCCGTCAACTCTAGGCCTAATCATGTGCCTGATCACCTACATACATAATATAAATAGTGAGTGGGAGCCCAGTGAATAATAACAGAGTAAAGGGTTTAAATAAACGATATCCATAACAAATTCAGAAATCAGAGTTCAAATAAAAAACAGATGTATGTCTATATTCTTGTTCAAACTTCATACGAAAATTAGAATTTATGCTTAATCATACATGGTACATCCATTAGCGTTATCTTGCTTGTTAGTTCCATAAGGAATCTCCGGTACCAGGAACTTGTAATATACTTGAGCCACGGTATTATTACCCCTGGACAAGAGCCATGAGACCACGGTATTATTACCCCAGGACAAGGGCCTTGCTTAAAAGGCACGGTATTGTTACCCTCGAGCGGGTATGCAAAAACAAAAGTGGCCACTGGAGTGCAGAATCTGTCGCTCGAGAGAAGAGGGCAAATTCTAGGATTTCCAGATTCACCTCCAAACTGCAAAACTCAAATTCAAAGTCTCAAAATGCAACTTTTGGCTCCCAAAACTTGAGAAAACACTAGTAAACTGATAAAACAAGGTGAATTCAAAATCATGTCACAAAATTAAGTCCAAAAGCTTTGTCAATTATTCAAAACTCAAACTTGAAATTGTGAAAACAAATCATTACATATCATGCATGTAAAGGTGCAAGTTCAAAACTTTCGAAATATGATCAAATTTTTCTTTGACTACAATAACCGTATTGTATTGTATTAAGACCTCGTTTGTCAATAAACTAAAATAACCAATAATAAAAAAATTATTATAAGTTATCACATCACTCTCTCTACTTTTTGCCAAAACAAACAAAATTTTATACATGAAACAAATCTTTCTCGCAGAGATTTTTGGCAGTGTCTAGATAAACAACAATTTTTTCATATATTCCTCAATACACAATTTGGTTCTTAAATGGGACAACCTCGATTCATTTCACACCGTAAATACTCGCAAAACACAAAAAAACACTATTGTCATGTTTTTGTGGAAAACTGTTTATGTGGAAGCACCCTCCAACCAATGTCTTGGCGATAGAACCCACCTTGCCACGTTACTTCCTCGACAGCTTGGTAAGCTCCATCCCGGGCCTCTTGAAGGTCTATTCCCTTGGTAGTGACTCCAAGAACATGTCCTTCGGTGGCAATAAAGTTGCCATCTGAATCAAGTGCAGTACTGGCATGAAATATCTTAACAGCCGGAGCGGCCTACTGTTTCTTCAAGGTTTTGAATCATGCTTCCCTTCACATAGCTTCCAGGGTAGCCATTGCTTGCCATCACTACCACCATGGCAGAGCCCGAAGACCAGTTCAAAGACACTCCACTCAGTTCACCTTTACAAGCTACTAGTAAAACTTGTGCCAGATCAGATTCCAAACGAACCATTAATACCTGTGGATCATAAAAAGCAAACATTTACTGAAAAGGTTGGATTAATTTATGTTATTATGACCAATAAGAACATGCAGACTATTCTATTGAAGAGTAAATATGCCTATGCTACATGATGAACACAATGGAATTCTGTGTGCATTTTTTTTTTTTTAATGTAGACATGGTCACATGGATGCACCCAATAGACGACCGCTACATGAAGCCTCAAAATTACAGCTGCATATCGCTAACAGGCAATGGCATCATCATGCTTAAAATATCATTTTGAAAAACAGGAGAAACACCATGGATGGACAATAAGGGAGACCAGACCTATTTTTATTTGCTTCCCTCTTTACTGTTCAAAGAAGTTCTTCTCCATTCCATTTTCCCATGTCATTTGAAATAAGTTAATCCTGTTAAAAGCACACCATCCTTGCCAACCCTTCTACACTAACCCTGTCCTAACAAAAGAAAGAAATAAAGAAGTCTATTATGCCTGGAAAATAGCAAAATGAGTAATAAATTAAAATCCACAATGACCACAGTCCACCTCAACATAATTTAGTGTCGCGGGGTCAAATATACCATAACAATATCTATGCTTAACATAAAAACTGTCCATCAAATATATATGTCTACCAAAATATGGTCCATTCCATAGCCCTAAATGTTGTTCAATCATGATTCTTTTGAGGGTGATGGTAGTTTTCTTATTATAAAGGTAGTGGCAGGGATTTTATTGTTGAAGAGAAAGTGGTTAAAGGCAGTGGTAGGTCATTTTGTAAAGACTGAAAATAGTAAGAGAAGGAAAGGGAGGTGGTGGCGGCGATTGTTTTACTATGAACAAAATGTTGGAGTTGTTGGTGGTGTGGTTTTATTGTAGAGAGTGGGTGAAGTTGGTGGTAAGTAACTTGTAAATGGAAGAGCAGGTATAGGTGGAGGAAGAGGAGGAGGAGGTGGTGGTGGTGGTGGTGGTAGTGGTGGTAGTAGTAGTGGTAGTTACACCTCACAAAAAGAAAATGGGTGGTTGTGGTGGTTTTTTACTTTAGAGAGAGTGTTTTACAGAGAACACAAATTAAGTGGTTGGATTGCTATATTTAGTCAATGAGGATGGAATAATGCATTTATACAAGGGTAAAAAAGGTATTTTACTATATATTTAGTTGATATATTTGGTTTTGATCGTCACAATTGAAATTAGAGAGACCACATGTTCAGGGGTGAAGTTTAAGGGTGGTAAGTATAATTTACCCAAATTAAATGAAGAGAATTCAAGGAAATGTTCTTGAAGTTGGACGACAATCAAAGCAAACAATACTCACTATTCCTATATGACCAACAAACACGGCCCAATAAACTATTAAGTGTATACATATATGAGAACTAAGACTTATGGGAAATAATGAATGCCAACTAATTGTCATGTCCCACCAAATTACCTAGACAAAATTGCCTACCATGAAGAAATCTCAAGGAAGGGAGGCTAATAGAATATTCTGGAAGCTCCTGGAAAACTTGAGAAAATATGAGAGCTTGGGAGCATGAAGATCAATGGAAGGATCCAGAACTTCCTAGTTCATTCCAACACTTGAGAGAACATGGAAAATTCTAGAACATCCTTGAGTATTCAAGACACTTAGACTTGTAAATATCTTGTATAGATATATTTCTATAGAATTCTAGAATATACTTGTAGCTTGTAAGAAAGGCTTCCAAGGGAAGCCTCTCCATGTATTTCCTAGTGGCTTCTAGAGAGTTCTAGGAAAGGCCAAGAGTGCCTATAAATAGTGGAGGAGCTCATTTGCTCCAAACCATCTAAGAATTGTAAAGCTTTTTCATAAGTGAATACAAGGCATTCTCTCAAACTCTCGTGTGTTCCTCTTACTTCTCTTTCCTATAAGTTTGTGAGTTAGGCTGACTTAGCATCATCAAGCAAACCTTGAGATTGTCTAAGTGCCACACGGATAGCTTGGAAATAACCAAAGCCGTGACATAATGCAGATTCAATCCTACACAAGTGTCAAACAAGTAGGCAACAGGTCATCAGCATTTTTTAAATCACAAAATTATTATAAATGGAATGTCAATTAGCTATAGACTAAAGTTTACTCACTTGGCACTCTAGATCTCCGAAGCGAACATTGTACTCTATTAGCTTAGGCAATTCGGACTTCTTTTCAATCATGAGTCCAGCATAGAGAACCCCAACAAATTTGCACCCCTCTTCAAGCATTCCTTTTACTGTAGGAAGAATTATAGATTCCATGACCAAAGACTCGAGTTCTTTTTTTAAGATAGGCGCTAGAGAGTATGCTCCCATTCCACCAGTATTAGGCCCCGTGTCACCATTTCCCACTCGTTTATGGTCCTAAGCAGATTCTAAAGAAATTGCATTCTCTCCATCGACCAGAGTAAAGAACGATGCCTCCTCACTCTGCAAAAACTCCTCAACAATGACTCGATAACCAGCAGATCCAAAAACACCATTTACAAGCATTGAGTCGACAGCTTCAAAAGCCTCCTCTAACGTCATAGCAACAATAACTCCTTTTCCAGCAGCCAATCCATCTGCCTTGACGACTATAGGTGCACCTTGCTCTTTTATGTACTTCTTTGCAGCAAATGGATCCGTAAAAGTTTGATACTGCACCAAATCAATCAAAGCAAATGTAAAAGATTTTTCTAGTCTATACAGACAAATCACAACAATGTTGAAGTAAAATCCTTTATATTGTCAAAACAAAATGTTGCCACCTACAGCTGGCAACATGGGTGATTCAGTAGAGACCGGGATCATTTGTTACTATCCAATAATAATCAACCCTTTTTCCAATGCTATCTTTCAACACCATACTAATAATGGATCATAAATGTAAAAGAATTTTCCAGTCTATACAGACAAATCACAAAAATGTTGAAGTAAAATCCTTTATATTGTCAAAACAAAATGTTGCCACCTACAGCTGGCAACATGGGTGATTCAGTAGAGACCGGGATCATTTGTTACTATCCAATAATAATCAACCCTTTTTCCAATGTTAGATAGCAAAATTTCAACACCATACTAATAATGGATCATTTTTGTTGTCTATTTTCATATAAAATGAATAAAATTTTGGCATCCGCATACTAGACAAAGTAGTATGACTACTGAATGTAAATCATGCTTGATTAGATTTTTACAAGACAGACAAAGAAAGGAAGCAAACAATGTCTTCTATTTTGCTTTAAGATTAAAATGGGAGTGCAACCTTAGTAGTGGGAATTCCATATTTGTTACACAAATTCATCATGAAATTCTTGGAACCTTCCAAAGCAGCTGCCTCTGCTAAAGGGCCAAAAGTAGAAATTCCAACCTTCCCTAGGTCATTTGCAAGACCTGCAACAAGAGGAGCTTCTGGTCCAATCACAACCAATCCTACACCCTATTTTTCACAAAAGGAAATCACAACCAAGCTATCAGAGGTGTCAAGGTCGGAAATACAAGTGGCATCCCCTGAGCTGGAAATTCCAGCATTTCCTGGTGCACAAAAGACACCATCACAAGAGGGAGACCTCTTCAAGGAATAACAAAGTGCATGTTTCCTTCCCCCTCCACCAATGACCAACACAACCATCCTTTCTTCTGCAAAAACCAGTTTTAAAGCGATGGATAAGCAAATGGCAAGACATGGCCAAGTAGCTAAGCCATCATTAGTAAATTGTGCACCCTTATTCTCAGAGAGAGAGAGAGAGAGAGAAGGAACACAATGCAGTTAACGGTAGATTGATTACTAATAGAAACAGTCACAAAGATAAACAAGAAATGGAAAGCATATATTATGTATACATACACAACTTTAGCACAACAGACGTTCTGATCTAATCTATTGTTTTCAAAAGATGCATCTTTTATCTAAGTTTTGTAACCAAAACTTACTTCTTATAATTTTAACAAACAACTTCAAAATTTTATCCATTGGGGATTTCATATTTTCACTAGAATAAATAAATAAATAAATAAATAAAAATTCTTGACCAAAATGCATTTTCTAGGGGAGTCAAATTCCAAGCCATAAATTCAAGAGTCCTTGACATTTTTCACTCAGCATCAACATAACTAATAAAACAGAAAAAATTACTCCATCACTAATAATAATAATAATAACCAACTCCAGCAAAAACATACTGACCCCCCAAAAAAACACTAATAACGCGGAGAAAATGGGTCTACATTAATATGTTTTGTTTGGTTTCTAACAAAATGAAGGGAAAATAGGGAACAATAAGCATAAACAATCCTTAACTAATCTATCTTAGTTATGTTTTGATTTTATTTACTTTGCTAGAGAGAATTGTTAGGGTTTGTTCTTACCAGGCATGCCGTTATCTGAAGAAATGCTGTTGAAGACAGTAGAGAAGCATTGCGAGCTGTTGAAGAGTTGAGAATCCCTAGGACCATGAAGATTCACAAAGCTCGAATTAGGTGGCTTCACATAGAAAAGTGATGATGAATTTCTGAAGTTGCAGCACCGGTGAATGCCCCTAAATGGCCTCGATGAACGGTGGTGATGACTGCCAAAAAATTTCACTGAAGTTCCAACATTATACGAAATGCAAGCCATAGTATTTGTTTGCCCATAAATTATTTGGTCAAAAGGCTTGGAAAAAAGAAAGTTTTTAAAAAATAAACCAGTGTAATCTCACAGCAAGTACCGACTCTTTGTTATTTCTAAAGTTCTAAATAAAGATTGAAACTTGCAGTAACTACACCAAAAACATAAAACAAAAATACATCAATTCTACATAATTCATTCAACTAGCAATAGAAACAAAACCCCTAATTAATACATCAATCACACAACCCCTAATTTTTTCACCACATTACACACTTATGTTAAAACGATAGAAACAAAAGCCTAACTTCATAAACAAAACAATATATATTGCCTAATGCACGTCCAAAATACAGAAAAGAAAACAAATTTTCGCAATTGCATTGCATACAAGGAATCAAATTTCGTCATGAAAGTAGACACTTACACAGTTTTGGCCCTTGATCGATCAGTTCAGTTGTATCTTCTAATGACCCGCTTCTCCAGATCAGATACAGTTCTTAGATAGAAAGAGAAAGATGTGAAGATAGAGGAGGAACTCCAAACACACACACACAGAGAAACTCCAAGAGAGAAGATGTTGTAGGAGAGGAGCACCCGTGTACGGAGGAGGCGCCTCTGTCAAGGGCCGTGAGGGTTTCGAACATAAATCAGTTGGAAATTAACTTGTTTTTGGTTTTGAAAAACACTTTTCAGATTTTTTTTTTCTTATTTTTTTTGTTTTTATTAAACAAGGCTTGTGGGTTAAAAATCTTGTTGCAAATTTTCGAATGCCTATTGTTGAACATTCTATTCTATTTTCTTGTTTGTTTACTTGCAAATAGAGTAACTATCAAACAGAGTAAAAGGTTAATAATCTACTAAATTACTGTCAAACAGAGTAATATGTTAATCAAATTTCGTCATGAAAGTATACACTTACACAGTTTTGGCCCTTGATCGATCAATTTAGCTATATCTTCTAATGACTCGCTTCTCCAGATTAGATACAGTTCTTAGATAGAAAGAGAAAGACGTGAAGATAGAAGAGGAACTCCAAACACACACACACAGAGAAACTCCAAGAGAGAAGATGTTGCAGGAGAGGAGCACCCGTGTACGAAAGAGGTGCCGCCGCCAAGGGCCGTGAGGGTTTCGAACATAAATCAGTTGGAAATTAACTTGTTTTTGGTTTTGAAAAACACTTTTCAAAATTTTTTTTTCTTTTTTTTTTTGTTTTTATTAAACAAGACTTGTGGGACAAAAACTATAGCGATCCCGGGTTTACCCTTGTTGTACAGTGATCCGGACATGTGTCCATGGATGTTGGTTGTTGTTTATTATCTAGTTTGCATCCTCTTCGCTTTGTATATTGAGTTATGAGATGTGTTGGACAGGTTTGTTACAGGTTGGTTGTGTTTGGGAGCCTAGTGTTGCTGCCCAGATTTTTGGACCTTCGCTCGAGCGAGGAGTTGGTCGCTCGAGCGAGAGTGAGGTTCGTGTCTGGTGGGTCGAGCCAGGGTGGCTTCGCTCGAGCGAGTGTTGCGTCTGGTTCGGGACCTGAGAGTTGTATTTCCTGGCTCGAGCGAGCTTTTCGTGGCTCGAGCGGTCTGGGTTTTTCTTCGCTCGATCGAGAACTTCTTGGCTCGAGCGAGAGTTTTCTGTGTCTGGTCCCTCGAGCGACGAAGGATTCGCTCGAGCGAGCGTGTTTTATATCAGCAGACAGTAGCGGTTTTGAGCTTCACTTTTTCACTCCTTTTTTCTTTCAAAACCTAAATCCGACACTCTCTCTCTCTAAACTTGCACTCTCTCTAAGATTTGATCTCCCTAGAGTGTGAATCTAGCCTAGGGCCTTTGTTAAAAAGATAGAGGGTGTTGAGAGCTTCGATTTAATCTGAAAAAGTTTGGATTTGGAGCAAGTTGATCTTGGAGTCTTCATCTCCTTTGTGGCTTAAACTTCAAGGTAGGGATATCCTACTCCTCTCTATGGGTTTTGTCTTTAAATTTTGGTATTTTGAGATGTTGGGCTTGGTTTGGTAATTTTGTAAAAGTTTGGGGCTTTTGTGTAATTTTACAACAAGTGTTAACTTGGAAAGCTGTAAGCCCGTAGGGCATTTTGTTTTGATGTTAACATGTAATACTTATGTAATGAGACTCTAATGAATATAAGAATGTGGCTAGTTCATATGTCAATGCATGTCTTAATTGATGGGTTTAATGTTATTATTTTGAGGGCGTTACAAAAACCTTGTTGCAAATTTTCAAATGTCTATTGTTAAACATTCTATTCTATTTGTTTGTTTGTTTACTTGCAAATATAGTAACTATCAAACAGAGTAAAATGTTAATAATCTACTAAATTACTGTCAAACAGAGTAATATGTTACTGTTACTGTTCACATCAATTTGAATGGTAATAATTTTTTTTTTTTATAAAGAAGTTCATAGTCAACATGGATTTTAGTTGATAGATTTTGATGAGAAAATTCTAAAAATACTAATTTTATTACAAACTGACATCTACATAAAAAGTTATATTATATTAAAATTTAATATTTTAATAATAATCATATGTGTTGAAATTTTCAAGAAATTTTGTTTATACTGGTCTTTAATGCATTAAAGTTTAATTATGAGGAGGTTTTGACCAAATCTCTTAAAAGGCATGGGGTTGGGAGAAATTAATAAATACTGGGTTTTTTTTTTTTTAAATCAAAAAACTAGAAAATTAGGATTGGGATATTGGAACTCCCACAAGACTTGTGAGTTAAAAATCTCATTTTCTGTATATAATAGATAGATAGATTTTTTTAAATATTTTAAGTAATATTTTAAAATTTTAGATTCACTTAGTAGTTGTTTGGCATGTGCTAAAATAGCACATGTTATTTTAGCACATTATCTTATTTGAGTCACAATTATCTTATTTGGGTTACATCATTTCTTATTTGAGTCACATCAGCTCACTACAACATCACTTCAAACCCACCCTATATTTCACATGTTTTCATAAAAAGTCAAAAAATATATTAATTTAGTACTTTCCAAACAACCCCTGATATAAATACACATAAAAAGTATAATTTTTTGAAAAAAAATCTTTTAAAAATTCACTAAATATCAAAAATACAAAAAAAAATATGAGAATTTAGTATATTTTTCATATTTTTTTTTGTATTTATTAATTTTTTTAAATATTTTTTCACAATTTTTTTTTTTACTTTTTAGATATATCTAAATAAAGTGCATCTAAAAAAATTTAAAAAAAAATTCTCAAAATTTTAAAAATATTCACTAAAAAAAACATGAAAAATAAAAAACTCAATTTTTAAAAAACTTAATCTAAAAAACTCGAACCAAATACACAGAATGAGATTTATGTTTATGGATTTGTCTGCAAATTCGGCATAACTGAGATTTATGTTTCACATGTGGGGATAATAACCTACCTATTATCTCATTTCTCCATACTAAGGCCTTGTTTGGGAACAGGCTCTTTTAGTGATTTTTTGATTTTTTGACTAAAATATAATGTAAAAAAAAACTAATATGTTTGGGATGACTTTTTGACTTTTTACAAAAAAAAATGCAAAAAAATAGAGAGAAAATGAAAAATTTGACTTTTTGGTATAGGTTGTTGACTTTTTGATTTTTTTAGTGACTTTTTGACTTTTTAGCTAAAAAAGCCACTTGCTAAACGAGGTCTAAGGCCTCTTTTGTAATTAAATTAAAAGTCAGTTTTTTAATTTTTTTTATCACATTATTTTTCTATTTATATATATATATATATATATATTTTTAGAAAGTTAAAAGATTAACTTTTAACATACTTTTTTAAATGGCCTTAAAAAAAGGTTTCAATCTGTACAAGTACAAATTATCTGTATCGCTTGCCTATTCTGAAAAGTGTTTTTAAAAAACTAAAAATAAACAAAGTGAATGAGATTTACGTTTATAGATTTGTCTGCAAATTCGGCATAACTGAGATTTATGTTTCACATGTACGGATAATAACCTACCTATTATCTCATTTCTCCATTTTGTAATTAAATTAAAAATTGGTTTTTTTGATTTTTTTGTCACATTATTTTTCTATTTTTTTTTTAAATTTAAAAGATTAACTTTTAACCTACTTTTTTAAAATGGGCCTTAAAAAAAAGTTCCAAGCTATACATGTACAGATTATCTGTATCATTTATTTGTTATAGTTTTCTGATAAAATTAATTTTTTGCATTCATTGCGGAGCCTATGAGATAGACAATTCAGATTATCAATACGGGTCCGAACTAAAACCCATAAAAAGAGTATAAAGAAGTATGAAGGGGAACTTATCCCTCACATGTATGACTAAGGGTGCGTTTGGTTAATAGATTTTGGGAGAGATTTGGAAAAGCAAATAAAAAAATTATGTGAATGCAAGTAAAATATAAGTAATTAATAATGAAAATAAAATTTAATGTTACATTATTTAAAATTTAAAATAGTTTAATATAATTATATTAAATTTATAAAATTTGTATATATATATATATATATATTTAATTGTAAGGAAAATTAGTATAAATTATCCTTTTTTTTAAACGCTCACTCTCTTAATTATTTTTTGTTCTTTTTAATTATAGTTTTATCGTAACATAAAATTTCAACCCATAATCATCAATTCTAGATAACACCCTTTCCCCGTCATCACCAACTTTGACAACCTTCTCTACCTTTGCCCACCTCTTCTCATCCTTATTCATGCCACCCCATTTATTCCTTAGTCTTTTTTAGTTATTTCCCAATATCAACAACCGCTTTCCGCCGCTCTTGTAATATCCCACCATTGCAATCCCTACCTCACATCCTTTAACTCTCGTAAATCCTACTTTTTTGACCCCCATAGTCCCTTCACCTTTCGCACACCACCCCAACCCTCCCTACCGTCTAGTGATTGAGGGAGATAGAGAAACATATGGATGGGAAAATGAATGAGCAAAATGATAAAGAGTGAAGGCAACATGATTTGTAGGAATGAGAGATTGCGAAATAAGGAAATATTGTAGATTGTGACAATAGAAGGGCTGGGGGTGGCGCTAAAGGTAGAAGGGTCTAGGGAAGCTACAAAAAGGGACTGCTAGAGCTAAAGTAATCAGGAAGAGAGGATACTAGAGGAGGCTCTGTCACGACCCAAACCCACCCCTATAGGTTTGTTTCACGACGTAACCGGCCAATAATCCTTGGATTACCGAAGGCCTCTTAACAATTAGATTTGTAATTAGGGGCTGCGGAAGTAAATACTTAAAAGATACATAGTTCATCGAGCTGTGAAGACATACATAAGACAGATAATCTTATACTTTTATAACATACGAGTGACGACAAAAGATATAGTATTTACACATCACTTCGTGTACAAATAAAAGAAAACTTGTTCATAAGGCAAAAGGAACAGTCTTATACATCCATATTAACACAGCCACAAAACATGACTTGATCTGGAATCTCTTCGTAAGGCACAAAAGGTGGCGGACAAACGTTTCAGGCATCATCTTGGGCCTGATCACGAGCCTACTCACCTACATATATAATAAATCACTAGTGAGCGAAGGCCCAGTGAATAATAACAGAGTAAATGGATAAATGAATGATGTCCCATAACCATTTCTGATCCAAAGTTCACATTCGTATTCTCATTCTGAGCATATATAAAATTCAGAGTTCATGCCTAATCTTACATAATACAATCTTACATAATACATCCGTTAGCGCTGACAGATCACATACAGAATATCTCAAATCATACTTGTCAGTTCTATAGAAGAACCTCCGGTCGGGTAAGAATAACTTATCAGTTCCTTAAAGGAACCTCCAGACTGGGAACGGATAACTTGTCAGTTCCATAAGAAACCTCCGGTACCGAGAAATTGTACATACTTGAATCATCGCATTACTTGAATCATAACATAATGTCATAAATGCTTGTTAGACTTGGACAATCATTCATAGTATCAAACATGACATATCGTTGAATAGATCTTATCTCATAGATAGAAAATAATTTAACTTGAACGTAGCTTTACTAAGTTATTACTCATAGATAGGAACGGCAACGGGGCGGGGCGGGGCCTCCCCGTCCCCGATCCCCGATGGTGGAAATCCCCCGTCCCCGGCCCCAATCCCCGACGGGGAACCCACTACCGCCCCCACCCCCGTCCCCTAACGGGATCGGGTTTCCCCGACCCCGAAAATCCCCGGCCAAAAAAAAAAAAAAAAAAAAAAAAACACACACACACACACTGCTCCAGAAACCATCTTCATCTTCAGATCTGAACAACAACAATAACATCAACAGATCTTCATCAACATCTTCATCTTCATCTCTACCATTTTCCAGATCTAAAGAACAAAGCAAAAAACAAGAGAGAGAGGGAGGAGATCCGTGAGAGAGAGATGAGTCGGCTATGAGGAGCGAAGAAGCCGGCGGTAAGGGAGCTGTCGGTGAGAAGGAGCCGGTGGTGTGGGAGAGATGCTGTAACGCCCTCAAAATAATAACATTAAACCCATCAGATAAGACATGCATTTACATATAAACTAACCGCATTCCTTTCATTCATTAGAATTCCAAGACATAAGTATTACATGTTAACCTCATAACAAAATGCCCTACGGGCTTACAGCTTTCCAAGTTAACACTTGGTTACAACAAAGAGTTCTAACTCGTTTACACATTAAGCCCTTGGCCGGCTCTTCTCTCTCTCTCCTCATTTTTCTCACGCGAAATGAAGCTGTGTGTGAGGGGAGAGAGGATCTGAGATGGGAGAGAGAGAGATCTGAAATGAGGGAGATGAGGGAGATGAGAGGTGTGTTCTGGTTTCAGATTGTGAGAGTAGATAATAGAGAGAGAGAGAGAGAGAGGAGAGTATAAATGTTATATGAGTATATATATAATATTATATTATATTAGGTTTATTATTATTTATGTTGACTTGTTGGTTCTAGCCAACGCACGCAGAGGATATATATAATATAAACAACGGGGAACGGGGAACGGGGTCGGGCCGGGGCCGGGGCCGAATCACTTATCACCATTCCCAGCCCGAAAATAATCGGGGATTTTTTTTTAATACCGTCCCCGGCCCGTCGGGGGTATTTTTCGGGAAAACCCCGTGTTAATTGGGATTGGGGGTCGGGTCCCCATCGGGGGGTCGGGTCCCCATCGGGCTGAGTTTAAATTGCCATCTCTACTCACAGATAACAGGTGCTGCAAGTAGATAAATAGAGTAGGCAAATTCAGCTTCCTTGTGACGCGTGACCTACACAATTACAGAACGTACATATACTGAATTACACACCCGGAAATGTTAACTTAATCCCCTACTTGTCTTGGTGTGTTTCTACTTTATTATCCTCATTATGGTGTCTTAATCATGGCCTATGAATGCCTAGGATAGAATAAGGATGTAAAAATGTACTTGAAAACACTTTTCCAGACTTGCTGAAAATAGGGTCTCTGCTCGAGCGTGGCTTTCTTCGCTCGAGTGGACATGCAAGATGTGAGGGTCCGCTCAAGCGCAACTTCCTTAGCTCGAGTGGTCTGCAAACTTTAGACAAAAGTACTGGGTGCTAAATTTTCACGCTCGACGAATGCTCGATCCCCGCTCGAGCGTGAGACTCAGACCTTCGCTCGAGCGATCAGCAAAACATATGAACTTCTGGGTACATGCATTTCACGTTCGAGCGTGATTCAAGTCGCTCGAGCGGAAGTACACGCACTCGGAGTGGTCGCTCGAGCGTGAACTCCTACACTCGAGCGTAGATGCAAATTCTGGAATTTCCAGATTTGATCTCCAAGCTTCAAACTCAAACTAAACACTTCAAAGCTCAACATTTTGGGCCAAAAACTTTAGGAAACACATAGAAACTCATAAAACAACATGATTTAAGGATCATTTCAAGAAATCATGGCCTAATGGCTTGCCAATTATGCAAAATTCAACTTAAAACTTATGAATGATCCATGAACATGACATGCATGTATTTTCTTTGAACTTAATATTCTCAAAACATGATCAAATGCTACAAAACAACATGAAACTTGATGACTTCTCAAAATTAAGGTGGATTCAAGACATGCATAGGGAAATTCTTGAAATCAACTTGTCAAATTATGAGAATTATGCATGCATGCAAGATTATGCAAGATGTGGCTCAATCTCATTAATTTCAACTTAATCCTTGAGACAACCAACTTAATTCTCTAGAGTTCATGTTCTACACATCATGATTGTACAATCTAAGTGTTGAATTCTTACCTAGGCTTGTCAAAGTGAGAGCTAAAAGCTTGATTCTTGAATCTCTAAGTTCAATTCTTCCTCTTCCTAGCAAATTCCTTAGTTGAGCTCAATTTTCTTCTCTCCCTCTCTCTCTCACGTTTGTAACAACAAAATTGATGAAGAAAGGTGAGTTGAGATGCACATAGAAGTCTTATATAGGCTTGGTTAGTGAACTAATTACTTAGGCTTACCACTAAGCACTTGAGCATTAATTATTCTAATTATTTCGTTCCAAATCAAATTTCAATAGAACCTACCATAAAATTCTAATTAACACATAAATCAAGTCAATTTTTTAATCGAATGCCGATAAGGCCTTCAATTTGCAAACCGAAAAGAAACATGAACAGATCTGTCTACGCTAAACAGATATAAACACAAATAAGGCAACATATGATGCAAAACTTCACTTAAATTTATTATTAGGCATAATTAAGCACGTATTAACGTTAATCATGGATCGAGATTGTTACAGTTGAGGGTTACTGCTGCGCCATATAGCATAGCAGCCCTACTGTGAGGGTCTGTAGAGATATTTACCGAGTATATTTTGATTATCTGAACCGTTAATATTGTAAAGTTTGTCGAATATATCATTCATATAAAAAATCAAATTAATCGGATATCTATAACCTATTGATTAAGTCCTAGTTGTGTTTAAAAAATTATGATAACCATTTATTTTTTCAAAAACAAATGTGTTATTATTATAAGGCTACAAATGTCCAAATTAGTTGATTTTTTGTATGGATGATTTACTCGACGAACTTTATAACATAAATGGTTCAGATCATTGTTAACAAGACTCGAGACACGACCTTAATAGGCCTCGCAATAGCCTGCCAGCAGGAACCCAATTCCGACCATAGAGGAATGAGTTGGCAGGAATGAAGGTCTAACGAAAGGAGTATAATGGATTAATTTTGTAAGTGAAGGTCCAAAAACACACCAAAAGGTTGAATGATAATTACTAGTAACTTTTTATTGAGTATAAACTTACGGCATTTTTATAAATTTATAATTATTTTTTATTTAATTTATTATTTCTCTAATTTAAATTTATTTTTTTCTTTTACTTTTGATGGAAATTATTTTTCTTAAAAAACAATTTTACATATATTTTTTAATTAGGTTAGGAGATAAAGAGATAAAAGTTGATTTGGTAGATAAAATGTTTCTTTATTGAAGAAATCTTTGACGATTCTTCTCACATTCTACACTCATTATAGGTGGCAGCTGAATGTACAAATGCTACAATCCCCATCCCTAATTATTGCAAAATTAAAATTTAAAAACATGATAGTGATAAGCATCAAAATTTTAGTATTACACATTTTCCTTTCACACGGTGTAGAAAAATTCAAATAACCTCGTGAGTTGTGAGAAAAGAGAAATATGTGACACCAACATTTTCAAATAAAGGACATAAACTGGTTGGGCATCCTCCCCATTGCCCTTGTTTGGTTGCTTAAAAAATAAAGGAAAGAAAGTAAAACTTGTCTAGCTGCAGTGATGCTAGGGCAGCTTGAAAATATTTTACCGCGGTTAAATAGAAAAAGGAAAAAAAGTTATCATTTGTAGTTCAGCATTAAGTTTTTTTCTGCATCCCCTAGTAACAAGGCTCCTTGTAAAATATGCCTCAACAAGATCAAAAGAAACCACCTCCATTGACATACAAACTCAAAGCCTCGCGTCTCACAATTGTCCTGGGAACTCCAATGCAAATCTTTTGATCGGAATGTCAAGCATTAATATATAGATACATAGGGCAAGTGGAATTTTACAGATGTCTACAAGACCATACTACCGTTCCAGAGGCAATTTCAAATATGCAAAAATTACTGAAAACAGCTGATGCTAGGTATGCAAAGCCATGAACAAATTCTGCTTTCAAGCATGCTCTGGCATAAGCCGATGGAGAGTATCAGGTGGAATGTCTAATAACTCTGTCGTAGAGGATAGAAGCATGCTTAAAAAATTACAACAGTTTAAAGGTTAAGAAATTTGAGACATTAAATACAAGTCATTTCAATTATTGTAAGACTTGCATTTCAACATAATTGTAAATGTAGACATATCTTCAGTATCAAAAAAAAGAAAAGAAAAAGGAAGCCGAGGAGCAAAAAAAAAAAAATGAAGCAGGATATATAGCAATATGACAAACGTTTTTTTGATTTAGGTATCAAGTCAAAATTGACCTTGTGGTTTGAAATTAAAGAGTGGAGGAAGAGGACGGCCATTCGGAAGGCGAGTGTTGGGGTCCCTCAATTCATCGAAGAACGGGTGAGTGCAAGCTTCCAGCTGAAGTCCGACCACAGAAACTACGGTAAGCTACTTCACCACCAGTGTTTAATTACATAGCTACATATATAAGATGATATATAATGATAAGCGATTACAATGAAGGTAGAACTTACAGCAGTGCATTGCAAATTGGGGGAGTACTGAAAAAACCTACAAACCAGGTCCACAGCTTCTGGAGGCAAACGTTTTTGGAAGACCTGCAATATGAGAATAAAGTCACGGTGAATCTATCATCCAGAAGGATATCAAATAAAATCAATCCAAATAAGCTCAGAAATTAAAGCAGAAAGCGGAGCATACATCATCAAAATTGTGCCAACTCATAAACCGGATAATATTGACAAAAATTAGAATGAACATGCATACACAAACACAACATACAAGGTTTCAGTTAAATCATTAAAATCCTTTTTCCTAAAAGCAAAACAAGATATCCTCGATTTCCATGCGCCACAACAGATAAATTGTTCACTTTCCACACTACACATTCTTAATGTGTGAAACCTATACAAATCACTGCCACTTCCTGAATGCCAATCACCAGACCTGCTATCTAGCTCATAGGATCCCCGACATCTCACTTCACTTAAATTGAGGTAGTTTTGATTTCACCCAGGTCTACAAGCATTTAACAAATGTCCTTAACAGGGCAACCAAGAAGAAGTCATCCCTACCCGCCAAAAAATAAACAAGACTCCCCTTGTAAGTTGAAAGTCGATAATAAAAAAACAGAAGCCAAAAGTGCCCCTCCCCTAGCTTTTTCATTTGCCTACCTAATAAGCTATAAGTAAAAGTTGCAACAAACAGTTTGATACAGACTCTCAGAATAAAAATACATATATAAAAAAAAAAATAAAAGAGCTCATATAAGCTGCGCCAAACAGTCCCATTACCAAGTTTGAGTACTGTAGTGGCCCACATTTCCCAAACATGGTCAAACTTTGAAAGAACACCAACCGAGCACTAGTACAACCAGCAAATGATGAATAACACAAACATTTACCGTACGATGGTATCTCAAAATCATCAGAAGAAACTAATAATGGGACTGCCATCTCACTTCACTAATATTACATTGATCCACAATACATGAAAATAGTCACACGTGGTCATAATATCATGCCTTGGGCAAGTACCAGGAATTCACATCATTGGCACCATACATGCACACAGGATAACCCAAGCACATACCCTGAGGCAAATAAACAGAGTGCTTTCAATTGTAACTACACGGGATCCTTAGATGAACTTGTTTTAGCTTTTCTGGGAGTTTAATTTTAAGATGGCATTCAGTTAGCTAACCTATCAAGTCTTTTTTCGATGCCTCAATCCATGTTCCATTTTGGCCTCTTCTCGCCCTTGTAAAGCTTTCAAGTTAAACCAAATAGCTCTGTCCTTGTCCAAACTTAGGCCTGCTGTAGTTCACGATGTTGCGAGGAACCTAAGTATGCCGTGCCTGTCTCCATACTTCTTTTTGAAACATTTGTAGGCATTTTGGTAGACTGACAGATTTATTAGTTCCCCAGATGACATTTTGCTCTGCAAATTTTCAGGTTTCAACTTCCTACCAATAAGCCCAGCCAGATCAAAGGGAAGTGAGAAAAAAACAAACCCCCTCCACACTCCAAGGCATAAAAAGATTTCACGTTGCCATATTCCAAACTATGTATTAATTAGACTCCAACACATTTTTCAGGCCTCATTATGGCATGATGCCTGCCATCAGTTGGACCATAACAACACATGAATACAAGTACCAAACAATCAAGACATTAGTCCTAACTTCCAAACTTTAGCTCCACCCAAAAATAACTATCATATTTGTAGAAGATATTTTCAACTTAGGCACCGTTTGGGAAGAAGAATATGGGGTTTTTTGGCTATTTTAGCCACAAAAGACAAAATAGGCTATTTTAGCCACAAAAAACAAAACATCACATCCAACCCATAATCATTACACTCTTCTCTCACAAAAAAAAGTCAAAAAAACCAAAAAGTTCTTTCCAAACCAAGCTTTTTAGCCCAGGCTAAAATAGCCAAAAAGCCAACCCACTTCCCAAACCAACCCTAAAGATAATTTATTATAAACATCATATAAAAGTGAAGAAAAAGGGAAAATAAATTGGGTATACCTTGTGCCATGGATGAGGCTTTGTCTGCGGGAGCTTAAATTCAATATAGTTTGGATTCATGCATTTTATCTCCTCCCTGGTAGGTGTTCCCAAAACCTGTGTAACAATCATTATCCTTTATTTCCATGGGGGATAGTTCCATAAAGATCTCTGTTTTCAGAATTTTAATAAATGAAAGATGATGCAATCTATTTGTTAGAATATTCCAAGCTTAAGCATTATATGTTTCTGTTTTCTGTATTTACAACAATAAAAGTCTATTTTTCCTTGATTCCTTTTTTAAATACACATATAAGACGAAAATCTCATATGAGATTACAAATTTGCAATGCTTGATGTTAGTGAACAAACATCAGCAGAAATATCTACTTTTGAAAAAGACATTTATCCAAAGAAGAAGATAAAATTTCAGGAATCAATTTCATTACCACGTTGAAGAAAATATGAAGCAGAAATCTAAAACATGGAACCAATATTTAATGTTTTGGTTCTGAATTTCTCTGTCTATCAATCAGTTTTGCATCTACTAATGATTGACAAACTGATTCAATATTCAAGCCAATGCCTCAAATTCTGATAAAATTTTTAGGGCCAGATTAATAGAAAACAGATGAGATTATAAATACCTTGATAATCTCAACTAACTGATCAACTCCACTCTCTCCGGGAAACAAAGGCTGTATAAGAAGCTGTTCAGTCACATGCATATCAATGATACAGAAAACACGCATATCAGACGAACTACCTGTCCAAGAAGTAATTCAGACATCACACAACCTGTAGACCATATATCTATAGCAGTCATATATTCAGTGGCACCGAATATGAGTTCTGGAGCGCGGTAGTATCTAGAACAGATGTAGGAAACATTGGGTTCTCCTTTCACCTGATGCAATAATATAACAACTAAATTCAGGCAAAGAAACAAGATACAACCATAATTAGTTGATGTTGCCTGAAAGACTTACCAAAACTTTTGCACTACCAAAATCACAGAGTTTCAGCTGATGCGTGTGCGGATTCACCTGGATGCAACACTTCAGAAATTATGTGTCTTTAAAAATAAAATATAGAAAAGCAGATTGGATCAGTGGTCGCTATAATTGGGCCGGCCATAAAGCAAAATACGGCAATAAACTACACTTTCTCCAAAGTAAACAGAATTAAATAGCATTAATTAATTAATATTATTCACATACACCAATTAGTATATTAATTAGTGTACCAACACTAATTATACTACAGGAATTTTGAGTTTTAGCGGCATTTTTAAAAGCCTGAAAAACGCCATAAAAGATTACAGCAACGTTTAATATTTTCGTCGCTGATACAGCCGTCGCAATAGCTTTACAACGTTTGAAAAACATAGCTAAAAACATTAGGCAGCGTTTTAAAAACGCCACAAAAACTTTGACGGCCGCTTACAATTCCGTCACAAATAACCTTTTACATTTTTTTTTTGGCTTCTACCTTTTATTTTTTGGGGGGGGGGGTTTGTGGGTGTGTGGGACTGATTCTGCATAACACACCACAGGGTTAAAGAATTTAACTAAGAACACAACTTCAAATATAGCATGACACAGGATCACAATTTTTACATATTCAATATATTGTAATCAACACATCCGTAAAACATTATACGGAGATGGGGAAATAGTGCATAAAAATTATCTCAATCATTCATACAAAAAGTATCATCAAAGTACATCTTTACAAAACCATCATCCAACTCCTCAATCCAAGCATCAATAATTTGGTTCCATCTTGTCAATGACATGATCATGAGTATCCAGCTTTGACAAAACAGTGGCACTGAAAAAACACAACAATTCAAAACAAATAAGGAAAACTAAAACCCCTCGTTTGGCCTATTCCATAAAAATCCATGTACAAAAAAGCAATTACCAGAATGCTACAACACAGTAAAAGAATTTTTAATTTCAAAATTTCATCAGCATCTTCATAAACAATTTTTAATTCTAGCTGTTATGGTTCATCCAAAGCAATATATAGGCAAACCAAATGAATAAATTCCAATAAGGAAACAAATATAAACTAAAAATAAAATCCTAAACAAATTCAGCTTCATTAATAAATTAAAATTCACAAATAAACTAAAATTCTAATCTTCCATTTTTTTCAACCGACTCGTTTTTATTCTCCATCAGTAGTGAACCATCAGTATAGCTTAGTAATATTGACAACCATGCTAAGGAAACAAATGATGCTGAAATGAGACATTCATGGAAGCATAAAAAGCATACCTCGGACCTCTTCCATTGCATTAGTTGATTCCTAAGATTAAGACCCCTAACTCTTTGAAATTATAGAAAGGAAACATGCAAATAACTGGAGTTGAATAACTAACAGACCTTGATCTTTATATTTTTCTTATAAAATGTTCAATTCTTTGTAGTTTGATTGTGTTAAGCCACTGCAAAAGGGAGCCAAAAAAGGGAAGAAAAGTTTATGTTAGTTTGAATTGAACAACTTGAATATGATTAAAAGAACTTTGTAGTCTATATTATCTTTGTAAACTCAAACAAACAATAAACAAGAAGTCATATGCCAAGCAACGAAGTAGGTTTCAAGAAAGAAGTAGCATTATGAATAAATCCAAAGAGCTCTGAATATACCTAGGGAAATAAAAGAAGAAGAATATGGCCCAAAGATCAATTGTGCACCATCAGCTCTCAGGAAGCAGACAAAGTAATTAACAGCAAGGACACAAAAAAAAAAAAAAAAAAACAATTTTTTAAGTATGAATGAAGAAGAAGAAGAAGAGGAGGCAAATTAACCATGTAAATATAATAGATTTGACTAACGAGGATATACAAAGTCACTTGCCATTTTGAAGCAACATTCACAATCAGAACAACCTCCCATTGTAATTGCTCAGAGGTACATCATTTCTGCATATGTCCTGCACTTTCAGTTCTATTCAATCAGCAACTACTAACCACATATTCACCCAAAAAAAACTACTAACCACATACAATGATAATATTTGACAAAAACAATGGAAAGCTTCAAACCAAAGAAGGTGGCCACCACCCTCTCTCTGAACTAGCTGATGTCAAAAATTCATATCGAACAAGACTTCCTTTTTGCTGAACTCCTTTCGTTTCTAGTTTTGTCTTTCTACCTTCCTAAATAAAAAATTCCAGCAATAATCTCACCTTGTTAACTACATGAACAATTTAATAAAATTGAATAGACGGGGAAAAAAGAAGAAATTTTCTCACACTCCTCATTGTTCCAACAAAGTATTAATTAGCTGTAAGGAAGCAGTTCATACGTGATATTCAGATGGGCAATCAGCAACATTAGGAAGTGATGGCAACTCATTCATCACAGCAGCAGCAGTTGAAGCCAGAATGACAAGTAAGTGATCGCCTTTTTTTTTTTGCAATTCAACATAGAATTGTGTCAATTCAGTGCAAAATAAAAGAATTTATTGGGAAATAGTACAGAAAACAAAAATATTTTAATAAAAGTTCAAGGCAGAAAGAAGTTCTATTCTGCAGAATCAGTGTTCATTTCATAGTCCCTTCAAATCCTGTTTGGTGTGGATTTCATTTTTCATGTTTCTTCAAAATAAAAATAATGAAAAAATAACCATCATTGTACATATCAGTTCTAAAAACAATTTTGAAAACAGTTTGCCAATCAACTTGCTAAAGAGTGACGTCTTTCACAAATAAAAGTTTTCTAGACACACACACATACACAAGTAAATTAGCAACAAATTGTAGAAGAGATAATAATTTGAAAACTAAAGAACAGAAACAATAGCAGACCATTCAAAATTGGAACAGGAATATATATGTGTGTGTGTGTGTGTGTGTGTAAGTGTGTGCGCGCGTGCGAAATAAAAGAAAATCTTACAGATCTGACTTTTAGTTCTTTTTTTCCCAGGCACTAAAACAATGAGTGCACAAGTCACCACCACCACCCCTGCAGATTTTAGTTGCTGATTTAGAAAGTCAGATTACCAGAAGTAATCCTTTTCAAAACTAGTAGTGACAACAAAACTGACTTGTGCAGATTCCCTTATTGAATTTATACCCTGCACATGTCAAAGTTTAGAATTGACAATGTTTAAAACAAAACTTTTGTATCATAAGCATACAACATGAAACACAATGGTACCAGCCACCCTGTTCCAGTGCAAGCATTCTAACTGTGTGCATAAATAAATAAATTGTGCCACCAACTAACCAAATAAATCCAAATGTGATGACAAACTGATGAGCCTAGAGACAACAGTCAGATCCCAACCAACAAGAAATTCAAACTCAAAGACTTTGTTAAGAAATAATTAGAATTGAGTTTCCATTTTAAATTGGAACGACTAGCAGAAGGGGCAAAATGTCATCTGAAGCGATTAGAGTGTATCATTAGTGACCCTGTGGAACAATATGACGTTTTCTAAGAAGGTAAAAGATAAAGGTTGGTTGTAAACAAGCATTAAACCCTATTGTTATGTTTGGATTTGGATGTTGTATTGTGGAGAAAAATTGGAAAATTTTAGATTGTGCATCATTCACTTATACCAAATGTTCTATTTTCTTTGCAGAGAAGCAAGATCTAAATAAACAAATACAAGCATAAATCAACCCAACCCAACCCAACAAAATAGACAGCGGTAGAAGGTAATAGAGAATTAAAGAAAACAAATCAAACTATAGAATGCAGAGAAATAATAATAATAATTTAGAAAGAGAGGCTCAATCAAACCTGAGAAGGGTTTCGCGGAGTAGAAATTCCAAATTCGGGCTCCATTGCCATCGGACCAACCTACCTGTTGTTGAAAGTAACAGACAAAAGGGAAAATCAACAACTCAAGGGTTTATTAAACATGTTAAACACTTAATAAGCATTACAATAAGTACACGTATTTATTAAACACCAACTCAAGGTAACAAGTGCACAATAAGTACACATCACAAACTAATAAGCATTACAACAAGTGTTTCCATAAATTGACAAAAAAGGTCACTAGAAGAGTGTAAACATACCCTGCTCAGCAAGGTGCTCATCCACCTCCTTTGCTATCTGTTTCCCAACAACATACAAATTCAAACTTTTTAGCCAATTAGCAACATCTACATGTACACATAGATATACATTAAGTTGATAAAAAGATGAGATGAAATTCAATTAAGACCTTATTGAAGTGCTCATACTGTCTGTTGCCAAGGCCAAACACTCCATAAGTAAGATTCTGAAGCTATTCCCCTCTCTCTTTACCCTATGAAAAATCATATATCACAAACAATGAAACCCCCCAAATCTACTTTCTCAAAGAACCTTAATATTAATATACACTGAAATTATTCAAATTTACCTCTGTAAACCATTTATAGAACCTTGCAGCATTGTCTGTTGGCTCACTGTCTCCATATCTACATCACAAACAAACAAGAAAATAAATTTAATACATAGCTACACCTACGCACAAAGTTACAAACAATTACATATAAATATATACATCATGTCTGTATGTGATTAAAGAGGCAGGTAGGAATTAAAAACTCACGTAGCTAAAAAGAAAAATGCCAAACTCTCTTTCTTCAACTTCTCATCGTATTCTTCATCATCTGCTGCATAATCATCCTATGAACCATATAAATAATTTGATTAAAAAAAATAAAAACATCAACATCAATAATCAAGTACCATCAAACAATCAAACCTTTAAATAAAAACAAAAAAAAAGGAGGTCAAACTCACCAAATCAACTACTTTAAAGGTGGTCTGATGGGAGGTTAAAAGAATCATCCAAAACAATACACATGGGTTTTCAAGGAATAAAGCTACAAATGGGAGGTTAAAAGATATCTGATACAGATAAAAACTTCCCCTAACTAACATGGATTCCATGCTCTTCTTCTGCAAATTAAGCCTCAAAAGCTTGTAACGATCTCAAATTTATAGCAGAAACAAGCAAAAGACATGAAATGAGGATGGCCAAGTTTAAAATTTACACATTGACAATTAATTGAAGAGATACCTTGAAGACGACATCGACGATTTTGTAGTTGCAGAGGAAAGCCCTTCCGGTGCTGATGGTGGTGGTTCGGCAATGAAGACGGCATCGATGACGTTGGATTAGGCGGCAACATCCTCACCGCACCACCACCGCCGGCGGCAGCGACGGCGGCGACTCCATGTAAATATAATAGATTTGACTAACTAGGATATATAAAGTCACTTGCCATTTTGAAGCAACATTCACAATCAGAACAACCTCCCATTGTAATTGCTCAAAGGTACATCATTTCCGCATATGTCTAGCACTTTCAATTCTATTCAATCAGCAACTACTAACCACATATTCACCCAAAAAAAACTACTAACCACATACAATGATGCTGAAAATTTGTGTTAATGTATATAATAAAATAGTGGCATGTATAGAATATGATAGTGGTGTTGGTGGCAGATAGTGGCATGTATATAATATGATAGTGGTAGATAGTGGTAATATATAATATGTAAGTGGCATATAATGGGTTATAATGATGTTTGTAATATCTCCTATATAAGGAGTGTCATTTGGTCTTATAAGATAAGAAGTTTTGAATATAACAGAAATATATTCCTTCTTCCTCATATTTTCGGAGTTCTTCTTCCTCATATTTTCTAAGTTGGTATCAGAGCAACAAAAAACACAGCAGCCCTAAAACCGTCATAGCCATGTCGAAAGTCACGTCCGAAACCACTTCAACTCCTGCCGCTGCCATTCCGGTGAAAACGTCGAACTCTCACTCTGTCCAAATCACCACCATCCGCCTAAATGGTGATAATTTTCTCCGCTGGTCACAATCTGTCCGGATGTATATCCGTGGGCAAGGAAAGATCGGTTACATTACTGGTGACAAGAAGGCTCCTGCTGTTAATGATCCGCTGTTCGACAGTTGGGACGCTGAAAACTCCATGGTTATGACATGGTTGGTCAATTCCATGGAGGAGGATATAAGCTCTAATTACATGTGCTATACAACTGCACAAGAATTGTGGGATAATGTTAGTCAGATGTATTCTGACCTAGGAAATCAATCTCAAGTTTTCGAATTAACTTTGAAGTTGGGAGAGATTCGTCAAGGAGATGATTCCGTAACCAAATATTTCAATTCGTTGAAAAGGTTGTGGCAGGATCTTGACATCTTCAACACATACGAATGGAAATCGGTTGACGACTGCAACCACCACAAGAAAACTGTGGAAGACAGCCGTATTTACAAGTTTCTTGCCGGCCTCAACATTGAGTTCGATGAAGTGCGAGGAAGAATTATTGGCAGACCTCCTCTCCCATCCATTGGCGAAGTATTTGCCAAAGTCATAAGGGAAGAGAGCCGAAGGAGCGTCATGCTTAAGAAAAAAGGTAATGGTGAATCAATTGAAATTTCTGCTTTAATTAGCGATGCTGCGGCCAACAAGGCTGCAAATTACCAGCGCAGGTTTGATGATAAGCCACGGGTCTGGTGTGATTTTTGCAACAAGCCTCGCCATACACGTATCAATAAGACTTAACCCTCATTTGGGATGGGGGCTTCAAGCTAAAATAGTCACAAAAAGACAAAATAGATTAAAAAGTTAATAAGAGAAAATGTCACATCCAAACCATAATTATTTCATTTTTTCTCTCACATAAGTTTAAATTTAAAAAACGTCGGCCCGGGGCCGGGCTTCGGGCTGCCCACGGGTCACGGGCTAATTTTACATTCTTATCAATGTTAATGTTAATATGTTAATGTGAATATTCACATTATGAACGGGCCGGCCCGGGCCCGCCCCGGGCGGCGTGCTGGCTTCGGGTCGCCCATGGGCCACGGGCCAATTTTACACTCCTATCAATGTGAATGTTAACTTGTCAATGTGAATATTCATATTATCAACGGGTCGGGTCGGGCCTATTTTTTTGGTTTGTGGGCCAGCCCGGCCCGACTCGAATTTTTCTAGGCACCCACGAGGATCGACATGAGCCGGGCCCCTACACATTGACGATATAAACATTTATATTGACGGTGTGAACATTCACATTAAGGGTATTTTGGTAATTATGTCACCCATAGGACTTATTGAAACATAAGAAAATAATGTAAACTAAATGGAACATAAGTAGATGAAAAGGGTATTTTGGTCTTCTTCTCTCAAATTGGACCTAATGGAATAGTCAAAAAGAATATGGGTTTGATGGAATAAAGCTCTTAGAAAATGGATTTATCAAAAAAGCTCCCAATTTAATTATTTGTTAATTTTACGACATTTTTACCATCTAAAACTTGTTTGGTAACCATTTCGTTTTCAATTTTCAATTTATATTTATAAAATTTTTAAAAGCTGTCATAAAAACTTGTTTGATAATTTTTTTGGTTTATAAATGGTTGTCTCAGTTTGTAAATTTGAGGAAAAAACATAAATTCAAAAAATGAGCTTACTTTAGTTTTTAAACAGAAATTTAAAAATTTTACTAACAAAAAATTTTTTCA